TTTTATTGATATATATGCCATTTCTCTTCCAGAGTAGCTTTACTTTCCCCTTCCCAATTTTCAGGAAACATCTTTGTGATATTTGTGACCTTTTGATGAGGGATATTCAGGTCAAAGGAAAAAAAAAAAGAAAAAAGAACCCCCCCCCAAACTATGTAAAAGTGCATCTGTGGTATTCTTCAAAAGACAGATGAGCTCGTTATCTGTGACCTTCGGCAGTTATGTACCCATTAGAGCTTTAGGTCCCTCAACTGTGAAATCAGGGTGGTGATAATAAATACTATTAGAACAGTGTTCATTTTTTTTCTCTGACAAAGAGACTTTCACCTACAATATCTCACTTAATTCTTATAACACCCTCTCTCCCTGTGAAGGAGATAACACACTCAGCAGTATTTTAGAATGGTATCCTACAAATACCATAGGGAGGTGAATATGAATCACTGCACCAGTCAAAAACTCACATTCAGACTGGTTATGTCTGGAGGGAAAATTACCTGTTAATATGCAACAAATATTTCTTGAGCACCTACTACATGTTTAACAATGTTCTCTACACAATCAGGACAGAGCAATTAATAAACAGAACATTTCCCTGTGCTCAGCAAACTTATATGCGAGTGAGAGTGGAGACAGACCACACACTAGGAAACCAAATACTAAATTAGGTCATTAGGAGAGGTAAATGGCACCATGAAGGTAATAACACAGTTTAAGGGTATTATTGGATGGTGTCTTGGAGATACAATACTAGGATGATCAAGGAAAGCTTTTTTTTTTTTTTTTTTTTATGTACTATTTATTTTCTATTCTGAATGATTAAATGTAGGAGGAATGCACAGTTCTAAGAAAGGTGACTTGGAGACAGTGAAAATCTACTATAAAACCCTAAGGTGGGAGTTAGTTTGCTAGGTCCAGTTGCCAGAAAGATCTATGCTAAACAATGGAGGAGAATGATCTGAGAAGAGGTAACTAAACAGGAACTAGATCATACAAGTCAGGGTAAGATTTAAATATCATTAAAATTGCTATGGTCAGTAATTTGGAAGGTTTTGAACATGAGAATTACATGATCCAAGATGTTTCCTAAAACATGCTACCCTGTGGGCTATGTTGTCAAGAACAGACTGTGTGAGAACAAATGTAACAATGCAGAGAAACCAGTTAGGTGAACTGCAAGAGTTCAGGTGAGAGATGGTGGTGGTACAGACTAGGATGGTAGCAGCAGTGGGAAATATTCAGGCCCCCTTTACAAAACAGAAATGGATGATGAACTGGTTTTGGGGAATGAAAAAAAAAAAGAAAACATATCAGAAAAACTGCCTGGTACACATATATTTATAGAATCTTGCCATCTTAAAATTAAAAGAGAGCTTAGAAATTATGCAGTCTTAGCTCTCCATATTACATGTGAAGAAGCTGAAGTTTAGGAGCAGAAAGTGATTTCATTTGCAGCATACAAGCAGTGAATGCCGTGACTAGTATTACATATGTTTATTACACACCAACTTAATGTATCTTCTTATCCATCTATCTATGAATTCAACCATCGGTCCAATTAATCATTCATTAACCTAAGCATTCAATCTTTCACTTACTTATTCACTCAATAAGCATTCCTTGAACAAACACTTTGCCCACAGTGTGCTAATACTGGAGGAAGATGATGGTGAGAGATGCAATCTTGCATATGGCACTGTCATTCCCTTAAGGACCTCACAGCCTGGTTGGAAAAGATAAAAGAGGCCAATAGCTAGAATGTTGCTGACCTAGACCACATACTAACCACCTTGCTTGTACCATAAGACTTTCAATATTTCACATTAATGGACTAACTCCTTCAAAAAGTATCTCAGAAGATTCTATCATGCCACCTATGGATACTTTCCTGATTCTCCTTAACCTCAGCTGAGGCTGTTCCCCATGTCTTCATGTAGGAAAAGAGAATATGTATAAAACCTAAATTATTTAAGAAGGGATCTTAAAAGATTGGGACGTATCTTAAATTTTATGGCTAGGGTAGATACCAATGCTCACCTCCAAAGGATCTTTACTACTTATCTTACAGATAAAAGACCTCATTACAAACGTTGAATCTGCATGAACTAAACTAATTTCTGTACATGAAGTCATCATAAGTTAAAACTTGGAAGAGAACCTAGAGATCATACAATCAACCTTCTCATTTTGTAGGAGTTTAGAGAAAACTGAAGACCGTCTGATAGAAGAGAAAGGTTTAGAAACTGGGTCTTTCAATCCTTATGTACTTACATTTCCCCTCTTCTCTCTGACTGCTATTCTCTTCATCTCTCTTATCACTACAAAGTTAAATTTTTTGGTGTGTTTTTCATTCAAAGAAACCTTAAGTAATTTGAGTTTAAGACTACTTGTGTTTTAAGCAACAATTCTGTGATTTTCTGAATATAAGTTAAGAACATGATTTTAAATATCAGATACTATAAAACATATTATAAAGAACATATGTAATCCTACCATGTCAAGGGAATAATTATTTAAAAAATTTTGGAGTATATAGTTCATATATTTATTTAATACCTACAAAATTATATGTTTGTACTTCATATAATTGGAATCACTCTATAATCTCTGCTTTAAACTGCTTTTTCAATTATCAAAATATATGGTGGCATCTGGGTGGCTCAGTCAGTTAAGCATCTGACTTCAGCTCAGGTCATGATCTCACAGTTCATGAGTTCGAGCCCTGCATTGGGCTCTGTGCTGATGGCTCAGAAACTGAGGCCTGTTTCAGATTCTGTCTCTCTCTCTCTGTCTCTCCCCCTCTCTCTCTCAAAAATAAACATTTATTATATTATTATAATATAATAATTATATTATTATATTATATAAATGTATATAAATAAACATTTATTATATATATACATATATACTTTTTAATTAATATAGGTGGATCCTCTTCATGGTATTAATACTTACAAAGTACCACTGAAAGGATTTCATCACAACATACTTAACTCATTCACTTTGATGGGCACTTATGTGGTTGCCAACTGCTCACTACTTTAAGCACCACGGCAATAAAAATGTGTGTACAGTTATCTCTTTAAAATGCTCAATTATTTCCATTAAGAGAGGTGTTGAATGGATAGTCAAGGGTTATACTCATTCAAATTGGTGATACATACTGCCTGATTATCATCTAGGAAAACAGCTCCAATTTACATCTGCAACAACATTATCATTCTTAGAAATATTTGTGAATGCAGAAGATTGAGAAAATGTTGAAGGAAGGAGAGAGGTAATAAACACCAGCCCTAGGAATTGAAAAGGAGAGATAACTCAGGTAGAGCTCATACTCAGCTAGGAACCAAAAGCTATGCAATCTTATCTCTTTTTTCTTTTTTGTCATATGTAATAATTAAAAAGTCTTGATTGTTATATGCACAAAAGATATATTCTTAATTTATAATATGTATTTCTGTATAGGTATATAGACATTTATACATATACCTCTTAATAACATGTAAATCAACATAAGTTATTAATATTAATCTTAGACATTCACACAGGTCCAAAACTCAATGCTACTGTGTAGCATGCAGTTTTTAAATTACAATATAGACTATTCTCTATATTGTAATTTGTATATCGTGTCTATTGTACAATTTGTACATTTTGTACAACACATTGTATTGTACAATTTATATTGTACAATATAATACAATACTCTATATTGTAATTTGTATATTGTATCTATTGTACAATTTGTACATTTGTACAACACATTGTATTGTACAATTTGTATATTGTAATCTAGACAAATGTCTATTCTCCTATAGACATTAAATATGTAACAATTTTCCACTCATCCTTCTTATTGTAAATTGTCTAATGATAATCTTTTACTTTTGCTCATTTTTATACTAAATTTTAAATATTCTTTATACTTTGTAAGAGCTCTTTATATATTAAATACATTCCGCTTTGTCATATATACTGTCATCAAGACACAACCAACATAATGTTTAACAAGACCTCAAAGCAAAATTTTCTTATAACCTATCTTCTGGTATTCTCTGTGTGTAGCACAAATATTCCTGTATGATTTAAACTGTCTGGGCTTCATCATTCTTGACCAAATACTTAAACTGGGAAGAGCATACCAATCATGAAATCAAAGTTTTGGGTGCTAGACATGATTTTCAAAAACTTCAGAGGGAACTCATCTTAGACAAACACCATACCAAGGACCTGTATTCTTGAAAAAGATGATTATGACTTAGTACAATTTAGCCCAACTATAGAAAGATACCTCACTGCATAAGTCTTCTTCTTCCAAGTGGGCCTGTGTCATCTTCACATACAAAATATTGTACATTATTAATAAAGACCAATGTGGAAAACATTTTTAAGGCTATATGTTTTCCAAAATTCAGAAACGAAATTAAAGTTTATCAGAGGTTGTCAAAAGCATGTTATTTCCATGGTCATATAAGTATTTATGAACAGTAAATCTAATAACTATGAATAATTATCAGACCAAATTATAAAGTTTTCAAATTGATAGGACTCTGGACTTAAAAAAAATTCATCCCCCAAAAGAAATCTTCATGTTGAAATCTGTCACTCTCCATATTTAAGGAGGATTAAATTGGTATGCTATATATATATATATATATATATATATATATATATATATGGCAGAAACCCTGATAATGAGGAATGGTTCTATCATTTCCTAAAAGTTTATGTATAAATTTCACATATTAGCAAATCTAAATACATCTGCTATTAAAAGCACAAGTGTGCCCCCTTCTGAATAAATGAAATATTGAGTCCTATATTTGCTCTCAAAATAACTACCTCCCTCTTTCTGGACCAAACTGAATAAATGAATTTGGGCAAATACTAGCAGCAAGTTTTAAGAGCACTCTTTTCTAGAAACATTCAAGATCAAAGGCATTTTAAAAAATGTTCAGATGTTATCTGATTTGTCTGTTTATATTTGTCTTTTGCCACAGGAGAAATCTTCTAAAATAAAGCACCCAAGAAGCAAGTTTGATCTTACCCTGAGCAGAGAACCAAAAGCCAGTTTGCTACATAACCCAGAGTGGAGCAGAATGAGCTGGGTAGAGAGATGGCAATTCTTTCAGAAATTGCAACAGTGATAAAGATGCCAGGAAGAAGTGAAGTGACATTTCACTGAAACATCAATATATTTTGAAAGTCAGTGGCTACATAAGCTAAGTATCTATGTTGATTTCAAGTCTCTCCTCTCCCAGTTTTGCAGCTGAGGAAATTAAGGCTCAGAATCAGTAAGTGTGTTTTGGAAAATCATTTAATAATCAAGCCATACCTTCTTACCCTCAATCCAGTGTTGTACCTGCAGTAAAATGTGCTGATCCAAATTAACTATGCTGTTAGTTTTATATCTATCTGATAGACTTCATCTTTAAATCCATTCTTTTCGATAGACTCTCTTTTAATCTCCCTTCCTGTAAATTCAAAACCAAAAATAATTGTGACCAAAATATGGCACCATGTTTGATTTGATTATTTTAGGCAGTGTGCCACTTGACAATTACAAAATGCTATAGAAATTAAATGTTGATGATGATGAAAATGGTAACAGTAATATTTATGATTATGTCAGTCGTGAAATGAAATGTTATGATAAAGTCCTACATTATTAGAAGCTGATAGTTAAATGCTATCTTAAATTAGAGTTAGATTTAATCTTAAACCACCTGAATAAATGAATTAATTCAGAATTAAGTTCTCCAATTCATAGTCAGGAAATATGGTCCTTTGTCTTCTACCTGCTGTTATAGAGGCAAATATAGCTTATTTCCTTTCAAATACAAAGGTGGGCTGATTAGGCCTATAGCAATTATGACAGATTTCAGTGGAATGGGTAGCTAAATCAGTTATCTTCTTTCCCAAATCTTATCATCTCAATAGATTAAAAAAAACAGATGGGAATTGATGAAATTCATAGAAATATATTAAGATTTTTATTTCTTTAGGAAATTACATAATCTCTTAGCCATTTGACTTCAGTTGAATGTAGTTTTTCACAGATAATATAAAAAATCTACATCCCCCATGTAAATATATTATTTTCTTTTTTTTTCTTTTTTTTTTTTTTGCCAATGCATTTCCTGAAAACATCAATGGCTGATGTTCTCAGAACTTTGGATGAAATAAACACAGGTCTTTGGATGAAATAAAAGCAGTCTATCGACTTAAATTCTTTTCTAACACCATTCTTCCACGATACTACAAAGATTTCCAACAATGTATTTATTACTGAATGAAGTCTTCAGAACACTGCATTAAAAAAAGTACAGAATATTGACTCTTTAAATTGTTGTCCCCAATGAATACAACTAAAAGACAAAAGTACATTTGTAAATGTCAGTGGCCATATGGGTTACACTTTTGCTAATGATCAATCCCAAGATTAAATCAATCATTGTGCAAATACTATAAAACCATGAAATTTCTACACTAACTTCCTTATATTCTCTTGAAGTCCCATCACTAACTTGTGCCAATATTCATCTACATTTAACCCATGCTCACTCCTTTCTACTGCATGATTCAATCTCATCAACTGCATTTTTTAAGTGTTTATTTATTTATCTTGAAAGAGAGAGAGAGAGCACACACACACACACACACGCGAGCAGGGGAGGGACAGAAACAGCAGAAAGAATCCCAAGCAGGCTCCGCGGGCTGTCAGTGTGCAGTCCTACAAGGTGGGGACTCGCCAACCATGAGATCAGGACCTGAGCCGAAATCAAGAGTTGGACACTTAACCGACTGAGCCACCTAGGCACCACTCATCAATTGGATTTGGTCTGGAAACCTGTTATTTGGGCCGAGATAAGTCATTTTCAGAGAATCAACATATGTAAAAAGCTCTATGACTGAATTAATAGCCACTGTATTCATTGCCTAAAAATATGTTCTCAAGTAAAACACGCACTATGATCGTCAACTCACAGTCATTGCTGATTATTCATAATTGTGCAATGAACCATTGTGTAAACAACCTCTATACTTCTTATTTAGGGAAACTTTAAAACATTCAGACTAGTAATTACATTGAATAATAGCTTAATTTAAATCATAAAAGACCTCTAGTGGATTGTTTATTTCTTTTCCACTATGTGATATGTTTCACACAGAAAGGAGTTATACATAGTCATGAATCAATATGCACAACCAAAAATTAATACTGAAAATAAATGCATTTTATTCTATTTTTTCTTTAAATTGTAGAAATTGAGTCCAATATTCCCATTGCCACTTATCCCAACCTTTACTTCATATGGACACCACCTCCTGACCTTTGAAATTCACCATGTGTTTTTCATCTGACAATTATTTAAATATGAACACTTCCTCTAACATTATTATATTTTTGTCAGGGGATTTGTGTATGTGCGCATATATGTGTGTGTGTGTTTATCTGAAGTGATTATTAGTGTGCAATCCAATTCTCTTTCTCAAATAACTGCAAATCATCTCTTCATTGTGAAACTGGTAACTGAAAATCACTATCAACCCTTGTGGTCCTTGCTTGATTGATAGAGATATAAACCTATCTAATCAACATGCCTCTTACTGCAAAGATTGGTTCAGCAATGACCAATTAAAATAGATTCAGTCTCATTACAGCACTGAGAATTAAAACAACAATGAGATACTACTACACATTTTTTTTTGAATGGCTAAAATCTCAAACAATGCAACAACAAATACTGACCAGGATGTGGATCAATTGGAACTGTCATTCATTGCCATTGAGAATTCAAAAAGGTATGGCCACTTGGGAAGACAGCCTAGCAGTTCCTCACAAAGCTAAACATAGTCTTACAACATGATCAATATGCCAGCAATAATGCTCCCTGGTATTTATCCAAATGAACACAGAACCTGCACACAAATGTTTATAGTAACTTTATTCAAAAGTGACAAAACTTAGAAGCATTCAAGAAGTTCTTCAGTAGATGAATGGATAAACAAACTGGTATATACAATTGAATACTAATCCAAAATAAAAAGAAATGGGCTATCAAGTCACAAAAAGATATGGAAGAACCTTAGATACATATTGCTAAGTGAAATAAACCAGTCTGAAAAGACTAAATATTCTATGACTGCAACTAGACAACATTCTGTAGGAAGCAAAGCCATCACTGGTTGCCAGAGGTTCAGCAGGAGGGAGGGAAGGATAAATAAATGAATCACAGGGAACTTTTAGGGCAGTACAACTAGTCCTTGTGATACTGTAATGGCACATATGTGACACTGTGCATTGGTCACAACCCATACAACTGTATAGCAGAAGAAGTGAATCCTAATGTAAACACACTACGGACTTTAGTAAATGATAATATATCAACACCAACTCCTCAACTGTAATAAATTTACCACATTAATGCAAGATATTAATAGGAGAAACTGCATGTAGGGAGAAATAGTATACGAGAACTCTATTTTCTGTTCAACTTATCTGTAAACCTAAACTTCTCTAACAAAAAAAAAAAGTGATTCATTAAAAACAACTGATACAATGAATCACAACTCCAGAAACTGTTAGAATTACTGGAGAAAAGAAAAGCCGATTAAAGACTACTTAGGGCTACCGCGGGAAGAAAGCTTACACATAAACAAAGCCAGTATCAGTAAAACAAGGTGAATGACAGGAAAACAGAGAGAGAGAATGACATGGAATCTTGTATCTTCTCAGTCTTTTGGAAGGCAGCTGTGCGTAAACTCAGTCCTATCCTTATGCATCTCAAAAATATCAGCCAATAGAACACCTTTAGCTCAGAATGAGTAGGGTTTTCTGCCACTTGCAACCAAAAGACTTCTTAATAATACAGCCCTACAGACACAGATCAATATCACAATCCTTATTTTAGATTATGAAATAGAATCCAAGATTACTTTTAGAGTGGGGAAAAGAACATTTTCAAGTAACATGATGACAGACCTTCAGAAATTGAGGTAAAGACAATGAAACAGATTTTTGTCCAAGCAGTGTTTTTAACATTGGATATGGCAGACACATAGATGGTCCACGGAATTATCTCAGTGGCTACTGTGGAATAAGCAGAGACCGCAGGTGAATGTAAGCAGTGCACAGATAAGGCTCCCAAAATCAACAACAACAGTTCCTCTTCTTTATTTATTGAGCATCTTTCTAAGTTCTTCTTTGAGCAAAGAATTGTTCAGTCAAGATGAAGTTTGAAAACCATTATATTTGGAACATGAGTAGTTCCCAAGTTCAGGCCATGCTCAGTACCAGAGGAGGCCTCCAAATGAACCACTGAAATAATAACATGGAAAGTGAATTTAGCAACAACTTCTTGTTATAACAGGTACACTGGCTGGATCAGAACAACTGCCACCTTTCTAAGAAGAGAAGATCAGCCTCCACAGGTATAGAGAAGCTTGGTATCTTGGAAAATCCACTTTGATGTCATAATATAGAAAAAAAAGAGAAAAGACATCAGCACAGAGGTGTCTGGAGAGCAAGAACCAAATGACATCAATCTCAATGTATACCTTGTAGATGAGGAGTCTGATTTTATGTAGGATCTCTCAAGATGGTCTTTCCAAATTACTGTTTCTTCCTAGCATCTTCTATTCCATGGTATTTTATGGAATAAATGAATGGATGAATGAACAAGCCCCTGGAATTGTTCAAAGCAATGCCCCTACTGCTGTCACATTAATATCCGTTGTTCAGTCTCATAGTACCAGCTATTTAGGGTAGGTATTTTAGTCTTAATGCAATACTGTTAAAATGACCTCCTAGCAAGTAATGCTCAGTTTTTGGTTCTCTCACAGTCTCAGCCCATCATTTTCTAATCTATCTCCAAATCATCATTTCCACTCCAAATTTCTTCCAGGCAATTTCTGAAATGTTTAATTTAATTTTTAATACTGAGGTTCGTTCCTATTCAACACAACTCTTGCCTTCTGACAAACTTATTTTGTGTCTGTTGGAAGACTTGTATACAGCTATAAGAAGTTAATAACAAACATGATAATATTAATAACACTGCTGTGTCACACTGTACTTACTTCTAAAAGACTGAAATATATGATCCATTTTAGGAGCTTCTAATTTCTAAATAAAACATTGACTGACTTCTCTAAGGTGTCCTGAGGATTCCACCCCCAAAAAACTGTCTGTTTAACAGGTACAATTGGCAATTCTGCCAACTGGGATTCCTGCTGCTAATGTGGTTTCCCATATTGTTGTGTAGGAAGCATTCGTGACATCAGCTTCAGAACTAACCATGGAAATAGCAGATCTCACACACACCTACTCTCCACAAATCATCATGGACAGCTTCCCTCTTTCATATTTGTAGGAAAAAGGGGAGCAGATGATTTGTGTTTCTTGAGGGGGTGGAGATAAAAATTCTCCAGCTATTTGTTGCACATCACAGTCATGGAAAATGTTTCAAGATTTGAGGCAGAAATGAATAATTTTGGACTCTGATTTTGCCTCTACTGCTCTCTCAAGAAGTGT